GAGTTGTTGTTGTTGCCTCATGTTGGTTCTTTTTTTCTTTTAATAAACATATTGTGGATCTAGATACAAAGAAATTCAAACTGTGGTGAGAATATCTGAAAATAAAACTGGAAATAATAACTTATTTTTGCTTCTCTTTGATAGGTAAACATTCATACAAAGATTTTTTAATGTATTTTTTCCATTCATTTATGTGAATTTAGGTGACTGTACAGAAGAAATTAATGAAACCCAGAAATCTGTGTCAGAGTGATTCAGTTTAGACAATCAAATTCCTTCTCAGGTCAGCAACTGCTAATGGCTGAGGATTCAGGGTCCAGTTTCACATAGGTCCTTGTTATTACTAGAACCAAATTTTAACTCCTTCACCAGTCCTGGGAGTTCCCAGTATTTAGCAGCATGTTCTACTCTCTTCACATCCCTAAAGGTATAGATTGCTTTATTACCCAACTCTACCTAGGAAGATTTACAAATGGAAAACCCATCCTTTCTGCAAAAATGCGGTGCTTTTCTGTTGTTTTTAGCTGTTTAATATGACCTATGTGCAGTTCTAGAAAACCAGTGATTCAGCTTTGGCATTTAGCAACAAGAGAGCCTTATATATCTTTCACATCTGGGACACCTACCCACTAGCCAGAAATGAATGCTGCTTTGCTGAGACAAAGATAAAATCCTTTTGTGATGATTTATTTACCTTGTGTCTAGGTGTGTCTATAGTGTTTGACTAAATAAAGAAAATTGCTTCCAGTTTCAGCTAATGAAATAATTTCCTAAAATCCTCTTCAAATATGATTTTTATGCTTTTCTGCTCTGATTTGCTGCTACCTCGAAAAAAATCTTGAAGTGACAAAATATTACACCCACTCTTTCTCAACAGAATTTGCGAAAAGGATAATTATGAGAGACTGCTAGAATTCAAATTTGAACTGAAACTTCTTGTGTGGAAATAGAGATTTCTATTACGTTGATAGGCTCAGCAATTCCTCAAAGGGCATGAACAAGAGCTGATCAGCCAATGGAATTCATGTTGCAAGGGAATTCTGAAAGTTTGACATTTACTTCTTGAATCATAAAACATTTCTGCAGGACAGTTACCAAAAAATCCCAACTTGCTTTGGAAATGTCACATAAAAATATCTACTTTTTGCATCAAAATGTCAAAACAAAACAATGATTTAGGCTTCTATGTCTCAAAATGTCAACTTGGTGCTTTTATCAGTACTTTGGCTGTCTATGATTTGTAAATTTTGCTTAGAATTTATTTTAGAAAATTTTCATTGGATTTTACTTTTCTATGGTATATCACAATTTTTTGTTTTAAAATTAAAATAATTTTTTGTAAAAAGTTCCTCACATATTTTTTGCGTATATATATATTATATATATATATATACGCTTTAAAAATATATAAATACATAAAATAAATCATATTTCACTAAAATTATTAAAAAACCCAAACACTAGGAATTCACTAGAAGTGTAGCCAATACCACAAAAAAAAAACCCAAAAAAACCCCAACCCAATCCTGTACTCTCTCCAAAGTATCCCACCTCCCTTTTTTATTAGTAGTTAAACCTAGCTAAATAATGACATTTCCTATCTGAACAACATGTCTCAAAACTCTCATACTCATCTGAAGAAGAGGAGGTCCTTTAGAAGAGTCCTACCATGAGTTGGAAGAGACCCAACAAGGATTATCAAAGTCCTGCTCCAGGTCCTGCCCAGGGTCAGGGTAGGAACCCCAGCACGTGCCCAAGGGTGTGGTTGGTGCCTGGCAGGGCACCTCTGCAGCCTGTGGCAAACACAAGAGCATTCTTGGCTCCCACCCGGGTCTTACTGTTCAGCATTTTGTTTATTTATCTGCCTGGGTATTTTCTCCCCCACTGGAGCTCTCTGCTTATTAAACCTTCTCTGCCAGGATAATCATCATTTATGGTCCTCCAGGTTAATTTTAAGCCTATGCAAAACCCTGGAAATTTTGGAACAGGATTTGGCTGGGTCCTTCTCCTTTATTAATCAGCAATTTCCACATTTTCCTCACCACTAACTTTCACTCATAGCACTTTCAAAAATTTTGCAGAATGTTGAGCAGTTTTACAGCAATAAAACACAACTCTTAACTAATCTATTATCCCTCTGTGTCTGAAAATGTGAGTGAAATTGGAAAGTGGAACTCACAGGCATTTTTCAGCTCAACTTGCAAATGTGCTGGAGAAGAAATTATTTTCTCCTCTTACACTCGAGTCAAAAAGCATCATTGGGCAAGTTACACTCATTTACATACATTTTCTATTAAACTTTTCTATCATAAAATATTGCCTTTATGATCCAGACACATCATTTATTATGCAATGCACCACCACCATCATCAGAGTGAATTGCATTTTACGTGTTTATACTAACAGGGAAGGTGATCGGCTTCAGCCTCCTTTTCATTATATGCATCATTCATCCTCCACCACCAAGATCTCTGGTTCTGTAGCATATCCATCATTATCCAACTGCCAACTGTTTTCAGAGGTTCCACTGCTTTAAGCTCATTATTTCTTTAGATTGGTGAATCTACAGAGGATCTTTCCAAAACATACAGCAGTCAGCATGGCACATGTATACAGATGAATGGTGGGGGTTTGTCCTTCACAGTCTCTTTGTACCTCTGTTTTGCTCCAGAAATGCAGCATGTAATGAGCAGAAAATGCATACTTATATATCTAAAAATAATAAAAATTTAAATGGCCTTACAAATAATAACCATATAGTGGGATCTTTGTGTGGAAAGGCTGCTGTGAAAAAAATCTAGCATACAGATTCCTCAGTAGTTTGGGGTTGCCATCTCCTTATAATGCAGACTAAAGCACATAGACAAAGAGCTCTGCTAAGATAAGGAATTTCTTTCCTGTCCCCATTTACCTTGCTGCATTTAATTTAATCAATAGCTGAATGGGGAAGAGGAGGAGAATTTGATGGTTCAAGAGACTGATAATAGGATATCGAACCTTTCATCTCTGTATCATTGATTCAACAAAGGAATTGACACACTGGATCAGAGCAGTGGTCCATCTCCTCTGATATGCTCTCTGACAGTGGCCTGTACCAGGTGTGTTTCAGGGAGAGGTGTCAGAAACCCTGCAGTAAACATTTATGAAATAATCTGCCCAAAGGAAAGATTTCTTCTTAACTATAATTTGGCTAATGTTCACCCTTAGGGTAGCCTATAACTCAAAAACACTTTTAGATCTTGTGGACTGCAGCATAGGTGATATATTTATTTCAATACATATCCAACAGAACTCTGCATTCAGCTGAAGTCTTGGCCACCAAGTTGCACTGTGCTCCAGAGAAAAATTAATAATTAATTATTAATTGCAATAATTGCTAACTTCATTGCACTTCTTCTTAACTTGTTGTCTTATTAAATGAATAAGCTCTCGTATACACTGTGTACCCATTATTATTAGTGACCCATACAGTTCATCTTCACTCTCATGTAAAAAAAAAACCAAAAAACTTAAACTTTCTAATTTGTCTTGAAATTAAGGGCTTTTCATGCTTCTAATCAATTACACTGCCCATCTCTATACTTCATCTATTTATGATACATTCTCTTCAAGGCAGGATAACCACAACTGAGTACAGTACTCCAGGTCAGGACATACCACTGATTTATTTAATGACATTATAAGATTTTGGGCATTATTTCTCTCCCAATCCTTTTGTATCCTAACAGTTTGCTTGCTTCTTTGACCTTTACTCTATACAGAGCAGAGACTTTCATTGAACCATCCAGTAGCAGGCACAGGTGTCCTCTTGAGTGACAATAATGATGTATTTTGATGGCTTAAATTATTCCTTCTTATGTTACATTTGTCAACACTGAACCATTATCATGACCATTCAGCTAAATTTGTTAAATTTTACCAGTTTCCTTGCTCTTTTTTTTGATCTTGAATTTTCTGAAATATTTGAGTTTTCTTTATGTTATAAGCATCACATGCATTTTCCTTAACTAATGTACAGGAAAAGTAAACCAATTTCTGCTATGAGGTCTGAAAATCCGCCCACATGTATATACATGCATACATTAACCCTCTATAAGTTCATCATGCTTTTTCTTTTTATTATTCTCCTTTATTAAACAGCTTCTAGTTCCTTCTTGTGTCTTTCTCTCATGGCTATATCCTGACATTATTTTCCAAGGAGATTTTTTTTTCCAGAAATTTAGTAAAAATACTTTTTTTTCAGTTGACACAACACATTCTGGTAGATTAGGAAAAAAATGGTCTTTCTTTATGCGGCTATGTCACTTTCTGTCACACTGTTATGTCACTATTATATAACAGGAAAATCATGATATTACCATTCCAGTCCTAATTTTAGGTTAGAAAGAGTCATAGTGAGTTGGCTTTTCTAGAAACATTCCTGAAGCCAACAAAATCAGATTCCGCATTAGCAATTTTATAAAAAATGGCTGTGTTTCATGGGATATCATCTCATCTAAGTTTTTTTCTTAAATACTGCTCCTAATCTCCTATGTTTTATCAGCCAGTACAGTTATGAAGGCAGTTGTCCTTGCTGGCCTGAGTAAAATATGTTAGTGGTCATGATTCAGGTCTTAAGAAAATGCAAGCCAAAACTCAAAGAGATTACCCTGTTGGCAGCTTGAGCAAATATATTCTGCACAAGCAGTACAACAAAATGAACAACCATTTCACTGAAGGGGTATCTGGTCCTTTCATATTAGAATTAAGGAGTTTTTATCTCATGCTAAACAAAATATTTTGCTGTTTTCCTTCTGAGTGCTTTCCTATGTGAGGAAGCAGAAGTGCTGAGTCTTCCAGGCTTTTAAATATTTTTAACAAGAAGCATTATTGTGGGACACTAGGTATGTTAACTAGACTGCAGGTGGAGAGCTTTTTAATGTCACTCTGTGTCTAACACTACCTAAAATGCTTTGTGTTTGTTTATTCTGTAAAACAAAACTCTATAATCCAGGACCTACCATGAAAGGGCTGTTCTGGTTCTGTGGACCCAAAGGCCACTTGGAGACAGCAACTTCACATGTGCACGAGTCCCTGCCTTCGTTCTCCTCTGCAGATCTCTCTGGACTGACGCACCCAGAGCAAACCCATCAGCTGGAAGAAGAAAAGACAGCTTAGTTACACTCCAGATTTGCATCACTTGAGAGATGTTGAGTATAAAGGAAGTGTCTGTATTTCCACCCTTCACCCAGCTGAGGGGAGATGAAGAGAAAAAAACTGGGAAGCTCTGTGAGAGCAGAGTGCCCCTCTCCTGGCACCAAGGCTTAGCAGTGCACACAGATACCAGGCTGGGAGCTGTGGGTGCAAGGCATTTCTGCTTTACCCCTGCATACACATCCCTCACAGGCACAGTTGGCAGGATGGAAGATTTAGCCCATAGCAAGGGAAATGTACATCATTCTCAACATTATTCATGCCAGAAGTGTTTTCAGGTTAATTTGTAAAAAATTATGACCTGAAAACCTAAGACTGAGTTTCAAATGAGACAGTTATTTTAAGGCTTGGTTTACTAAACCTAATTTATTATGTGAGATAACAGACTTCTGCAATCCACTGCATGGCTTCATGGCTGAAGTTAGTAATTCATGTGAATAATGCTGCTAAAAAAGAGATGCTATGTGATCAATCCATGGCAGTCAGTCATGGTGCCTAGACAGCAGCTATCTTGACTGTTTTTCCTGCAGCACAGAATAGCTGAGAGGACTAGTTATGTCAGCTGCAAATATCTGAGTTACAGGAGCACAGCTGGAACATCACGGCTCCCTACCCCTGCACAGCCTATCCTATAGCTAGAGCAGCATGCCACCATTGAGGGCTAAAGATGAAAAAGGTTTTTAACTTGCTACTGTCATGCTTACAATAAAGTGTACTCTCATCTTTAGCATTTCAAACTCTTTTGGTGTTTAAACCATAAATGTAGCATTCCTGGATGCCACCCTTGGTAGACAAAAGCAAACAACATTTTCATAAACAAAGTAAAGTGCTGCAATTACACAGAATGCACCGAAAGTGCCAGCTCCAAGGCCAGGTAAAAGTGCATTCTTGAATTGCTGGGCACTCCAGAAAATACTTAATTCCAATTGAGTAAAGTAGAAGATTGGAAGGAAAAAATTATTTCTTTAAGCAAAAAGCAGTAGAGTTTTCTCATGCATTAGGGCAGAAAATGATACTCTGTGGGAGTCAGAAGGTAATTTTTCTCCTTCAGATAAGATGTTGCACAACTGGTCAAGCACAACTATGAATGATTTACCTACAGTGCATAAGCTATAAGATATTGCATTTAAGTCACAAGCACTGGGCAGCTCTTCCTGTATGGCAGCTTCTCTGTCTCCTGCCTCCACATCTTACATTAATGTGGGTAAAAGGTAGCTTTTTTGGAAGTACACTGAAAAATCAGCATTAAATCACTTTCAAACATGGTCTGGTATCCTAGTTCAACTAAATGCTAGGATACTAGAATGAATGCATGAAGACTTTAGGAAGAGGTATGAATAATGTGTTTGCATTTCAGCTTCAGTAAACATCAGGCACAGCTACAAAGGGAAAGAGTGAATTGCTTCAATAGTAATTATTTACAGAAGAAAATAGTTCACAAATGGAGTAAAAAGAGTAAGCAACTTACTTTTGTACTCTGTCCCTCAAGGGAATGCATTGTATCTGTATCTCACAACATGCAACTCCTGCAATTGGTGGCCTAGAGTAAGAAATACACAATTAGATAAGGAAATGTAAATAGAGAAAGATAGATTTGGCAGTGTATGGGGTCCAGTAAATATCTAATTCTTCTAGTACTTTATCAAGGATATTTCTAAGTGCAGAGAGAAGAGTCAGAGGCTAAAAATATTTCAGGAACCTTTCCCAAAGCTGAATATTGGCAATGACTGCATTATGGCATCATCTAAAAAAATGCTGAAAAAGCTGAGAATGTTTTCCTGCAAAATCTTGTAAATCTCTGGCTAAAGAAATCACCTTACCCAACCTGTGGAGGGTCTGCCAATGGCATCTTCATTATAAACATAGGCAAGTGCACGCCTGTCAAACTCACAGTCAGGGCTGTCTGCAGCGCTTGGAGGAATGAGTCCCTGCAGCACAGGGTGTTTGATGAGAAGCTCAGCAGCATCCTGGACCTCGTGGACAGAGCCTGCTGGCACTGCTGCCCCATGGTACACCGGGCAGATGGAGGCACCAAGCTGGAGGTGGCAGCAGGAGCAGGGATGCTACAGGGAAGGTGGCTTCTCAATAACATTTCTGCTTCAAGCAACTTGTTGTCAGCAGTCAAAGTTTCAGGTTCAGGGATCTGTGGCCTCCTGAAAACAGCTGCAGGACTGATGTAACTGTTAGTTTATTTGGCAAGCTCTAATATATGGATGAGGTATTCTGAGGCTTGATAAGGAATTCTGGCTTTCTGCATGCACAGCAGAATGGCTGGTTTAGTGGATTTTCACTAATTTCCCTTTGCTTCAGCACAATATAAGGATCCTGGAAAAATCTATCAGACAATAACCAGCTTCCTGTTCTCCATTTTAAAAGCCTCTCATTTCTGATGTGTTAATAGTTTTCATTCCAAATATTTGCTAATATTCAAACATCTGAAGAAATCACAGTAATTTCTCCCTATTTCATTTGTAGCTGGACATGAAAAATGAATTGGACGTTCTCAAGACTGAGCAGCACAGAAGACGAGGATCCTTGTTTTTGGCACATTCAGTGACTGTAAATCTTTGTCTTTTATCCTTCCAGGTGGAGAAGTATTTGCGCTTCTTTTCACGCTTTTAATCAAATTGCAGATGTCTCAGCTGACAGACACTCCTCCTTTCATGAGCCTCTTTCAACAGAGGTACGGCTTAAAGATGATATAACCTCTTAATAACCTTAATCAGGCTATTTTTCATTATGTTTTAATTCATTATAATCCTAATAAGTCTGTGGAAATCTAGAATTAAAATTTGCTTCTTTAATGACTTATCTTTAAAACATTAGCTACACATGGAATTAAAATATTATTTACCAAGAAAGAAACAGATGCATTGGTAAGACAAAACATTACCCTGTTGGATCTAGAGGTTTTATTTAGGGAGAACAAAACAAAATCCATAAGGAGCTGCCCTTTCTCCTCAGCCTAAGCCCAGAAGGTAATACTGATTTGTTACTAACCCTTCAAGTCACTATTTCATAGCTACTCCAACATCTTTTGGCAGCACATAAGATGTCCTGCTGCGTACAATTAACCAGTGTGCTGCTTGGGCAAGTGGTACTACAGCTCCCAGTGTGTGCACCATGGTCTCTTTGTTCTCTGTTAAACTACTGATCAATGAGGTCTCAATGCAAACACAGGGGCAGTTCTTCCATATGCTTTGGGTCAAATGCTTGCTATAGGAGCCTACAGGAAAAAAAAAAAAAAATTCTGCACCCAGCCCATAAAACCCAAAATGCCCCAAAAGAAAGGGTTTCAAAGAGTGTCCAAAAGTGAGAATACTTTTGTGTATCTTAAGTACCTACACACCCAGCCACGGTCTGTTCACTTGGGTTTCCCACTGAATAAAAATAATTTTGGTAAAACCCACAAATATTACCTTTAGTTCCTTGGGGAGGAGCTATGCCTGGAGCAGTGGCAAAAATGGAAGTTTTGGTTTCCAGCATAACTTGTGGTCCTAAGTTGAGGCAAGCAGATCTTTTGCATTGCAAACAACATCTGTAGCAGATTTCTGACCTCCTCACTGGCACCTCACACTGATTAGTTTACAACCATCAGTCACTACCAAAAAACAGGGCCCAGATATAAAAGGGACTCTGAGGGAAGTTTTGAGATATGGGTTATCAGGTAGCACTAGATGCTGTGTTCAGGAAATGTATTCACCATTATTTATCTGTCCTGAATTTAGTTCAATGAAAGATTATTGACTCTTTAAATGTAGAGGAATTTTTAGTGGGATTTTATGAGTTACTAGTCTACAGATCCAAAATAGTAATACTATATTGTATTGGTATTGGTATTGTAGCCGCAACAGAACTCCAAGTGAGTGGGCAAAGCTCAAGCCTCAAAAAATGCACTCTGCCAAGTTTTTATACTCCAGACACCATTTAACCAGCATCATATGACTCAGAGATAGTTCAAATATTCAATCATTTTCCCGGTAAAGCCCAAAATGTTGAAAGCATCACACTTGAGGAGACAAAGGGACAAAGATATATAAGAGGAAATTGAAAGGACGAAGCATAGAGCAGGAGAAACACAGAATGACTTTACAGTCAGATTCCATACATTTAGACTGAAAAATTATGCACATTTAATACTCTATTTGTGCCACCCTCCTCTGTAGTACTGGCTATTGTCAAAGACAGGAAATTGAGCCAGATGAACCCTAATCTAATATGGTTTCTCCTGTAATCCTATTTCCATGGAGATCTGATATTTTACTGAAGGCAGCAAAACTAACAGATTCTGTTATTTGATAATTGTGAATCTGTTTTTGAGGATCTAGCTGCAATAAATTGTCTACTTTCACTTCCTCAGATAACAAATTCTGCCTAGGGATCTTTTGAGTCAATGTGAGACACACGTACAGGGCAGGCCTTCAGGCTCATGTCCTGTTACTCCCCGCAAGTTAGTCTGGTTCGTGCATTTCTGTTTATCCATCTGGAAATGAGTTAATAGAATTTTGAGGACTCAACTTCTAAACTCATTACTGTCTATGTTTAAAATAATGCATTTTAATATCACACCGGTAGTTTAATTGTTTTTCTAAATTCCTACTGCTTTGAAAAACATGATACAGACCAACTGAAAGGACAGAGTTTGGAAGAAAAAAATTTTAAAACTCCAATTCCTAGAAAAAAAAAACAAACAGAAATGTTCGCGGACGTTTACTTGTGACATAATTATCTATTGTCGTTACAAAAAAAGGAAAAAAAAAAAAAGAAAAAAAAAGAGTTTATCTGCTCAACACTGCTTTAAATGCGCACTGCTGATGTTTCAGCAAACCAGGCTTGTGCCGCATCTGCCTGGCCGCACGCACTCCAAGCGCTCCTGTAACAAAGCCAGGCTGGCGGTGCCTGAGCAGGGCAGGGCTGCTCCGGGGAAAATGGAGCTCCTCCATCCCTCCTCTGCCTCCCAGGGCTTGGGGAGGCAGCTTCCATCTGCTCATGCTCGCTCGCTGAGGCCGCTGTGAAGCAGTTAAAAAAATAATGAATACTGTTAAATATGTATTAGTAACTTGTTGTTAACAATAAGAGCTAATGGGAGGACATTTCCAAGCAGTTAATGATTGGCCAGAGGAGACGACCGGGGTCCTTAACGCAGTCAGTCATTAAATGTGAAGCAATACCCATGCTTGCACCCACTATTGCTATTTGCATCTTTCCTTCTCTCTTTACATCTCCAGCTTTCTGCATACCATTGATGGGAATTTTATTTTCTTTTCTTATGTGCCTGCCCTATTCCCAGCCCTTAGTAGCTAGCACAGAAAATCTCCACTTACAACAGTCTATGAGGTTTCCAATAAATTATGCTTGTATGCTGATTAAATGAAGATTAGTACTATTAAATATTAAAATGAAGACTTTATCCACATTTTAGCAATCACAGATGAAAAAACTGTGTGATCAGTGTAATCCATTTATTGGTTTATAGTGAAAAAGTCCTATAGGGAGTGTCACAATTCCCTGTGCTGTCTCTGAGTGCATTTTGCATTAAGACCTGTGATTTAGCTGAAAGATATAAAAAAATCACACACAGTCAAACAGATCCCTCCTGGCTACACATCTGAGAAGGCTCAGGAGCATAAGGCCGACACACAGCAACTTATGCTCACAAAATGAGCCCAGGACCACCTGTTTCAGATGTTAGTATGCAAAGATTTTCAAGGTCTGGAGGTTTTGACCAAACCACACCACTCTTGAGAGATCCGTTCTCTCTCTCCCTTTCCCTCTCTCCTTTTTTCCTCCTACTAACCATGCCCATAAAAGTGGTGAAAGTTAAAGGACAGCAAACTACTTCATGGAAGCATGTTTTAAGTAAAGCTGTTTATCTTGTTCCAGGTGTTGGATCCTGAAGTTTTTCAGCCATGAAAAGAAGTTCTATGACACCAGAGTAATCTCTGGTGTTACTATATAGTCACTTGTCACCAATAGTTACCTTTTTTGAGTAATACCTTTCTGCTCCTTTTCATCCATTGTTTCTGAGTTCTGCAGCTTAGTTCTAATTTGAAGACAGTCACAGTGCATTTTCTTAATTACATTAAATCTATTTGCATAACAAAAATGTTTTATCGCATTTCATGCAAACTCTGCTGCTTACTGTTGGACTTCTTTTTATACTTATAAAAATGATCATTTTAAATTATGAGAACTCTATTCTTATTTTCTTTTTTAGGTTCTTTGCGATGCATTTTTAACTATGACTTTATACACTTCCATAACACAAGCCATTCTTATTTTTAAAGTCCATTCATTTCAAAGTCATTCTCAAAAGGAAGTTTGGACTGTAGACTGCAATTTGTTGAAACTGCATAAAGAAAACAAGGGAAGCAAGCAATGACATTCCAGGTAAACATAATTTCTTAAGAATGTAGATGAAACTACTTTTTATTTAGATAATAAAGAACTGGAAATGGACAGAGTATTCAACTACTGATGCCTTTCACTTTGTCTTTAGTTAAGAGCAATAGTAATTACTAATGCAGTAATCACTGAATTTCACAGCTTTCTGTGTTTTTCAATATTTCTATAAAAAAATAATTTTACAGATTTGTATTATTCAAAGAGATTTAACAAAAGTTTTAACTAAACAAATGCTTCTTCACAGCCTGTATTCCTACCATTAACTATTGCCACTACTGATGTAATAGGCACCTCACTTTTCCCCTAATTGGACAACACTAAAGGTAATGAAGAAGGAGAAAATTATATTGTTGAAGTCTTGTAAGGGAATCTTTAAATCCCTTTCTGAAGGGAACAATTTGTAGACCAGGAAGAGCAAGGACAAAGGAGAGTGGCCAGAAAATTTTAGGACTTCTAAGTACTCCTGCAGTTCCTTGGCTCAGAAATTGCCCGTGTCTGGTTTAGGTCACTGGAATACTTTTCGACTAGCATAGTTTAAAAAGTAAATTTCCTTGATCACACGAAAGAGCTATTTGGGGTGACTGCATATGCAGTTTGGAAAACCTGATGGTGCACCTGTCACTCATGGGGACAGCCAGCACTCTGCTGCTCAGGAGCCCTCACTGTCAAGTGTCCAACACATCAGTAACTTCACTCTGCCTGCTTTCATTCTGAGACTGAGTATCTCTGTTTGAGTCATATCTGTGAGGCACAGCAGAGTCAGGACTTCCTTGCGGTAGGTGCTTTCAGAGAGATCGCTCCCCGCTGCCTCAGAGAAAGGAGCTTACGTGTGGGATGAGTGGGTACACCTCCAACTCACGGCCTCTGTCCTTCCGCTGACCCCTGCCTCTGCTGCTCCTTCTTCCCTATTCTGTTCTCGACCTCTTTTCACAATTGCCCATCTTCCTCTGCAGATGGTCTCTCTGCTGTTCTCTCACCTAATATGGATTTTGATTTGTCACAGGGAAAAAATAAAAAAAGACAACCAAGAGAAAGAAGGTTGGTTGTGCACTCCACATTTATGCTCCCTGAACAGAAACTCTACCTGCATGAAAATCAAACAGGGAAGGGAATAAAACATGGTGATTTTGAGGCCAGATTTTCTCTGATTCCCTGAGAAGCCCAGAAGTCAGGAAGTCACTGTCAGCTCCCTGTTTCTCTGTTTCAGCCTTATTTTCAGCACAGGTTAGAATTTTTTGCTACCACTTTTGGCTCTTATTCGCCTTTCCTGGAGAGGGAAGCATATGGGAATGCTTGACAGAGCTTAAGATTCTGCAGTCCTGAGGTAGTGAATACTATTACAACGTCAAGCAGCCCTGAAAGTGCTCCGGCTTCTTCCCAAGGACAGCCCCAAATCTCCTTACAATCTGCCCAGGCTGTTCTCAGCAAAGCTCTGCAAGACCCCAGGTTTTTCCTCCGGAGATTCGCAGGGTGTTTAAAAAGAGCAGCGCTCTGTGTGGCTAAGCAGTGTTGAAGTGAGACCATCCAATGACAAACACAACGGGAGCTGAAGTCGGAGGCAGGAGCAGTCCTCCCTCCCCCTCAAACCCTGACGGCGCTTCTGTATCACTGCAGATACATTATCTTATTTACAGAATTACAAACTAACAATAGGGTATGAAAATGCAAAGCTCTGTGCTTACCTGAAGTCTCTCAGTTTCCTCCTTTGGTACATTTGTCTCGTAATAAGAGGGATGTTTTTTGTCTATGAATAATAAACACTTTGAGCTTGAATTAATTCAAATATTTCTCTCCTATCTCACTTGGTAAAATAATAGGGATATTCCAGGCTATCTCCTATTGCCCATTAATGTTGTGTATATAAATAAGCCAGGTTATCTTTTCCTTGTGAGAAATATTTTATCTAACAGGCTCTTGTCTAGTGGTTCCAGTACTCTACCACTCTAAATTAGGACACTTTATCTTAAGGCTTCATAATCTTACGAGACTATAATTGGAAAGTTTATAAAAAAATCCTGCTTTGTAAGCTTGGCAGCTGAGATAGAAAGAGGGAATGAGAAGGGCTACAGCAGAATTACACCATCACTGCTAGCCTGACTCCGCTTGACAGAGCCGTTTAATATTTTGACAAGACAAAATATAAAGCAGCATTTTATTCTGTAGAGACTTCACTAGACACAAGCATGGAAGTGCTTGTGATCAATAAAGTTTGCGGTGGAGAGTGATTTATTTACAGCAGGGTATTATGTAGAGAAAGAGCTGTGATATTTCCACAGGCTTTGACGGCATAATGGGCCCCTCTCAATCCTTACATGGAAGGGTTAGATTGTCATGGTTGCTCAGGCAGTATTCAAAACGTTATCTGATCAGCCTTAAAGACTTCAGAACGAGACAGATGATTAGTTACCCTAAACGATTCTCATCATGCAGAAATTGATGATTTAATATAGTCAATGACAGACGATTCCATTTGTACTAGATAAAGTGTCTGCGGTTTGTATCAATCATAATAGAGTTATTATTGAGCATAAAAGAAAAGCATGTTTAATATCATTAATTCCAGATATGTCGCTTTCCACATCTGGCATTCATCCATAGAGCAGAACCACTCCAGGCTATCATTCCTGCCTGTGTGCTGGTGACTCCAGTGTTTTTTGTAATTTCAAAATGTTTTTCAGCACCTCCAGCTAGGTGCAATAACAGTTTACAGATTACCTATGTCATCACATTTTGACAAACTTCTCAATCTGATGTGACCTTCATCTTTAGCCATCTGCTTGCCTTTGTTTCTGCCTTTTTTTTTTTTTTTTTTTTTTTTTATAAACCTCTGCAGCTTAAAGCTGTAGTGGTTTGTTCCATATTCTTCTAGGTCAACATTTCACCTGTGTAAATCCAGAAACACAAACTGAAATGTACAGACAGTAACCTGGGTTCAAGTCTCAAGGTAGCTGACACTGGGCAAACCTCCCAAGTAGATGTTTTCATCACTTATATCAAATGCTTTTTAATCGTCAGTTGTTATCAACAATCTCTGCATAAACATCTGCATTCAAAAAATAGCCTATGTTTAGCCAGTACTTCTGCAGAACCTTTCTGTTTTTGAATTTCTAGAACACGTGGGGCAGAGTCTGGATGTTTCTAAAACCAAATCATAAATACCTATATGGGCCTGAGCAGAAACCATGCTGAAAATGCAGCTCAGTCCACTGCCTGTGCAATTCATGCATTCAGCCATGGAACCCAAACACATACACCAGAGAATCCAAACACATGCTGTCCAGGAGGGAGACTAAAACCCCAGAAAACTGCTGCATCTATGTACAGATATTTTTTCCTCCCTATTTTCCTGAATCCCAGCTAAAACTTCAAAGAGGAATGGGGTTTGTGTATTTATTCCCTCAGATGAACAATTGCATGGTTTTAAGTGATAAATGTTAAAAAAAAAAAAAAATTAGAGTTATAAAAGAGTGTGAGTAAGCTTGTTTGTTAACACTGAGTCCAAGATTTTCTGTTATATTGTTCAAATAAGAAAATTGGCAAGGCATCCTTTTATATGCCATCATAGGGGCCTCCTCACCTTTTTCTCCCTCCTTGCATGGGTGTTTTATACCAGTGGGGAGAACAGTCCAAATGAGTTGGCCAGCTGCCAGTACAAGCAGCAGGAAGTTTACTGATGCTGGAAGCTTTATTTATTTTGTGGTTTATTTTGGAAGGCGGAGTAAAGAAGGCTGGTGGCATTTCAGGGGCAAAGAGCCGTCCTACATTTCAGGCTCTGCCATCAACCAAGCATTGTAACATCTCCTATCCTGCAGAGCTCAATTTAAAGATCAAATCTGCTATTTACCTCCTCCTCTCTATTGTCCCTCCTCCAATAGAAACAACAAGAAAATAAACTATCTGAGTAACTACTACTGTATATTCAAGTATTGTAACCTGGGGAGGGAAGAAATGGTAACTACTGTGTAGATAATGCAAATTAGTGGGTAACTGCAAAAAAAGAGGCAGAAAGTCAGGCACAGCCCTAAACTGATCTCAAGGCACAGAAAAGGTAGTTACCAAGATAATTTATTATTAATTAATAAAGGTCTTGACATTCCTACTTTATTTTTATACTCTCTGTAGTTACTGATGCTTCCTTCAGTGGTGAAGCCATTTTTTCCGGTAGGGAAGAGCTTGTGGCTGCTAACCCCAGTCCTCCCCTTTCAGGTGATGCCCATTCTGTTTCTGCAGGTCACGGCCCATGAAATCAGACTGGTGAAAGGGTGCTGTGTTACCACCAGGCCTCTCAGCTCCTCTGCCTGGCTCATTTTGGTGATCTGGTTTGCAGAACCACCCTAAAACTGTTCCTCCAGAGAAGCCAAGAAAGAGAGGAGCTGCTCTGATCAGGTGAGAATAAGCAGCCAAGGGAAGTGAGGAATGCCTTGGAAGGCATTGCTGGGGACACACTCGAGCAGTTCCATCATCAACAGCACCACTTCTCAGGGACTTTAGGCAAAGACCTTCAGCCTGGCCAAGATTGTTTACGCATCTAAGACAGAAGTCATCCCTAGGGAACTGCCAACAGTTGCTGACCTTAACATTATTCACCCCTGTGACCCAACCCAAATTTCTGAATGTAGGTGAAAAGGTTACAAATTTGGTCAACCACTTGAAAAAAAACATAGCAGGTATCAAGGATGAGACAAGGAGTAATCACTACCTAATTTTAGTTAGTTCTTTTCACATTAAAAATTCTTTCATTGTGAAAATAAGATGAAAATTTAAGTATTCAATACAGGAAGCTATAAATAAAAAATATAGGTGCAGAATATAGCATATGGCTTAAAGCAGTAATGATAAATCACCACAATAACTCAAGTTCACTAGACAGCTGAAACTGCCAGAGCAGAGTAACAGGTGACTGCTTCCTCAGTATCATTAAAGATTTTAGTACAGTTATTTCTTGCTGCAAATAAATGTATGCATATCTGCATTTGTATGTATGTATATGTAAGTGTAAATGAGAGGAACTGCTACCAGAGAGCTATAAAAAGAGAGTATGTTTTCAATTCTTTGGGAAAGCCCTGAAAGAAGAAAAAAAGTATTTTCCTCTAAATCTGCTTACTGGAAATTACCACCATCTCAGAGGACACCTACCTTTGGGCTTCAATTTCTAGCACAAGACATGGGGGAAGATGGCTGGGTTGGCAGGCATCAGAAGATGTTAGAATGCTCTCACATATTCTCTAGGAATCATCTCATGGCAAATCTACCCACCATCTTTTGAAGGAAAAACAAGATGAACCTTCCTAAAACTTGAAAGGAAAAATAATTCAAATTATTTTCCAGCATATAAAAACTTCCTATTGAAGAAAATTACTGTTGGCAAAACTAAAGATAAATGAACTCTAAAGGAAGATTTAAGAAGAGATGGAAGAATGAGATATCCTGGATCACAGCAGTGAATATACAGGTAAAGATTTTTAAAGACTGAATTACTATCTGAAGATTTCTAGTCTGGAGAATTAAAAGTTTCAGGAAAAGCTCTTGAAATTAAAAATATTAGAGGGTACTGACAGAGTCATATAAAATGCAGAAGGTTAAATTTTCTGTATTGTTAGGAGGCAAAAACAAAAAGAGTAATGTCTGCTTTAAGTGGGCCAGGTGTAGAAAAAGAGCTATAATATAAACTGAATAGTGAGCCAAGAGGAGGTACAGGCACGGGACACTCTGTCCTCTGGTGTATATCTGGTCTCCTCCACTGCTCAGCTGGCCATGCCTTGGCCACAGTAGAATGCAGCTTTTGACTCCTGCAGAGGGCACAGAGATCCAGCCTCCTCCACTGCTGGTTCCTACTCAGGTGGCAATAGGATCTGTGAGGACAGCACACTGCTGCTGGCAGTCACAGCAGGTCCCCAGACCAGAGACCTTACATTTCCCTTGCTTTGCCCCTGCTTCACTTTGCCTGATACCTTGTATTCCCTGACTCTCTGGAAGAGCTGTCTTCTGCTCCCTCTGATTCTTCTCTTGAGCACTAGATTTCCACACCACTTTAATATTCCCAGCTATCTCCCAGAGTTTTGTACCCAACTCCCTAAATATAAAACAGTAACTCCAATCACAGGGCCAGTCTCTGGAGCCACTGAAGCAATGGGAAATGGCAGGCAGGCAGCCACAGGGGCAGTTTCATTTATGCACATGGGTCCTGGTGGCATCAGCCCTTGTCAGCGACCACAGCTCAGCATTAGCCCTTAAAATGTGCAGAATGGCTTCCTTGCTGCACACAGGGAAATTCCTACAATGGAAAAGAAAACTATTAGAAGCTTAAAATAAGTATTGATAATAATAATGAACCGAGGGATGTCAAAGACACCTTGGGAAGATGCTTGTGAGAAAAAAAAAAAAAAACCACATGAAAGATTTAGCATTGTACTAGCAGTGGAATTTCTCCCAGATGCATTCAGGTGAGCAGTGGAGCCCAGTCCCTGGAAAAGCTGGATTCCTTAGCCTGACAGAGCCTAGCCTCCCCCTTGCCAATTTAGGAAAAAAAAAAAAAAACAAAAAAAAACCCGCACACACAAAAAAAAACCCAAAAAAAATAAAAACAGCCAAAAAAAACCCCTGTTTTCTGACTATTTTTGTAAGCCAGCTGTGTTTTACATTTCTTTGATCAACAACAGGATTTTCCCATGAGAATCAATCTCTTTTCAGTTTCAGACCTGTCTCCAAAATCTCAAAATGTTTGGTTAAAGTGACATTTCAGCCACTTTCCTTCAGCAAAAGTGACACTGAGCACAACAGCAGAGAAACTGAGAGAGGGCTGTATGTCAACAGGTAAGAAAATCAAACTCAAGAGTCAGCGCTGTGTGGAGCCACTTAAAGTCCAGACATATATTTTATTTCTCACTTTTCACGCAAATACATGTCTTTTGTATCCACTCTTTAGTGTTACGTGGAAAAGCAAAACCTTGGAGACAGGAAGGAAAGAGACAACAGGTAATTACAGACCTCACTGCTGTCCTGAGTGATTCTTCTTTTTCTCCATATAGTGAATTAGCTCTTTGTAGAAGAATTGAGTTCAAGTCTTAAGACATAGTGAATTACTAGTCTAATTTGCCAGTGTCAGCTCTGTTTCAAACCACTGTTAATCATTTAGTTTTGTGTGTTTTACAAAGTTGAGACAGATTTTCTAAATGTACTGTGGGGCACATGGGGGTACATCTTACATACTTACACATATGTATTTCAATATATTCATAGTTATTAAAATTAATCAATAAGAAACTGTGTTTGAGTTCCAATCCATCTTGTGGTCAACACGACCCAGTAATTTTGTCCTTTTTCTTTTCTTTTTTTATGCAGGTCATCCATTCAGTTAAAATTCTGTCAAAACAGTGCAGTTGATCTAATTCCTCGTAATCAAAGCAGTTACTTTGAGTTTTAGTTTGCTATAATTGTACTGCTACAGACTTTAAACACTAAAATATGGGGGACGGGGGTATGGTGTTGCAGCCCCTGCAAGCATCACCACAAGTTTCTGTGGCCTCTCCATAGCTTCCCTGTGCCTGTCATATTATCATCTTTCCACTTGATCTTATAAAGAGTTTATATTTGCACCCTGCCAGTTTGATACTATTTTTCTTTTTCTGAACTTGATGTTTGATGCCTCAGCATAACTGAAGGCAAATCCGCCCACAGTATCACGCAAAGCAGGAGTGCTCTTTCCCCCACCACTTGCACAGCTTCCCTAAGCCCTGGGTTTTCTCCTGAAGATTTCACTCTTAGCAGTCTGTTTTCTGTTCCCTCCAGGAGGGACTGTGCTGTGCATTTTCCACTACTGGATATCCTAATCTGCCCTTAAAATATGCACATTTCTATCAGCTTGTTTTCCTTTAAGAGCTAAAAGCATAGGGTCGTCTTCCCCTGGCTCTCTCTTGCTGGCTGCCCAACAAGGAAGGAGTGGGCTCAGAAGGATTGTCACAGGAAATAAACCTGAAAATGGACAGGGCAGAGATGAAAACAATTCAATGTGCAAGTGCATAAGGTGGACCTGAGTGATGCTGTTGGTAGGATACCTTTGGAAGTGTGGGTTTGTACTTCAGTGAACTTCAGAAAGGCTTTCTGGCCTGATCTGTCATTCCCAACATGAGGAATAACACCTGTAGCTGAAACAACTTGCAGAGAACTCTATTCATATTTTAAAAAGTGTAAACAAAGTTGATTGATTCAGAGCTCATATCCTCATCTGGAGATACTGCAACTCCAAATTACCTCTCTGAGAATATAGACACAATTTCCAGCTTGCTCCAGTCTGCAAGGTGCTCCTTATAGGGATCAGTTAAAGCAAATCTCACTAGAAGGGTTCATTTCTCATTCCTGCTCAGTCCTAGGTTCCCCATGTGCTCCATGTTTCTGGGGCCTGGTGTGTGGGAGGAGAGTTTTTTGCACATTTTTGGACAGGATTCTAACTGGATTCTCCTAAAATCACAACCTAGAACTCAGACCTCACATACTACCATGACCTTCAGCCAATATGATCTGCATACATTCATGTCCATATAGAATAAGTGCTCAGTAAAAATATACGGAGGTGTCCAATTAGCATTAGTATATCAGGTTATTAGTCGTCCCTTCCCTTCCCTTTTTCACATAAAAATGCACTAGAATACCTATTAAGGGCAAGGCTGTGAAAATCAAAACACCTTTGATCAAACTTGTTGGAAATTAAACCAACGAAAGGGAATCTTACAGCCCACATGATACAAACAGATAACAAAGTAAAAATCAGTGTATTTGCTGCCACCCTACTTTGCAGCACACGCAGTGTACACCTACCACACAGTAACATACATTACTGAATAATAAATCACACTGTGGTCCAAATAACCCAAAGCATTTTACAAACATTAATTAAAATTTGAAATATCTCTCTGAGGTACTTAAACAACAATGTACATAATTTGTAGGTGGGAAAAGTGAGCCAAGGGAAGGTTAAATTAACTCACTCAGGATGAGAAGGGGAATCAGTGAAAAATCGGGAAGATGATATGTGTCTTTATCCCACTCCTCTGTACAAACTAAGGGCATCTGTCCTCAAATATGTAGAGTGAGTATTATAGTAACTTTAAAAAGGTTGTCCAGAAGATTACTTGTCAGTGTACATTTAATTACTATGAATTCTAAGTATCTGGTTTCAAACTACTATGTAGGCTCTATCCCATCGCTGTTTCCCAGTATTGCAAGACTCTTAATGGGAAAAGCAATCCCTGCTCATCACATAAAACATTTCTGGATCTGACTCAGTGACAACTGGATACAACCACGTGAGTTCTCCTGAGATGGCCACTAATTGGTCCTTCATGGCAAGTATTGCTGCCTCCAGGAATTTGCATTGCATCACACAGAAACATAAAAACTGTGAAATAATTACAGAAGAGCTACAGGGAGAGAGTGTTGCCACAAGCAACGCTCTGGCCTCTCCTCCTGGGCTGTGTCATGCTCTTCTCAAGCAGCAGCAGGGCCGGCAGGGGTGGCTGCCCTGCCAGCAGGAACTCCCAGGCCCTTCCACTGCACAGGGGCATCACTGATGAGTTCCCCCTTCCTCCCCCATCCCCCTTCTGGGGATTAACACTTTGCCTAATTGTAACTATACCTGCCCCCATGAAATTATCTGAATTGCAAAATAAGCAAATAAAAGCAAAAAATTACCATACTTATTTTATAGATCTATTTTTTCCCCCTGTTAGCAGGGGTCATTCCTCAGCATCAAGCAGGAGGGTAGGAGAGAAGCAGGAGGCAGAACTCTGTGTGTGAAGGAGTGGCCCCTTCAACAGACAGTTTTCCATTAGAATTGTTCTGGCACAAAACTTGCACAACACTGGAGGTAGCTTTGTGACATTCCTGGGGTATTTAACATTATTGATCTTTTTTGACAAATGAGTAATGTAACACGTTCATTACCATTAATCAACCTTTTTCTAATTCAGGTAAACAAGGAGTTGTTTGGTTCATGCTCAGCTAATATCTATTTTTGTAATTATTTTTACAAGGACCCTGTCTGATGAAATTCAAATATGTATTTATTTGGAAGAAAAATATTGATGTTCTTTTCATTTTAGCAAAGTATTCCATGAAGGATCAACTTTCCTAGCTGTGCTATTAAAGAAACAAAAAACAAACACACTATTGTGTCTTAGAACTACATTTTAAAACTGGGTCTGCTGGTTTTGGCTCTATTAGCATGGAAGTCCACAGTTAGTTTCACAACAATGCTGGGTGGAGAAGAATCAGATTCCCATCCCTTTGCTTGCCTTTGGCAGCTGGGTTGTTATTAGATGTGATTAAAACCCCCACATGTTCCCATCACACAAGCAATCAGCTCATGAGTTGCTCAGTGCAAATGCTGCTCCCAAGAAGGTCCTGCTTTGCTCAGCAGGTGTTTGCTTGGGGTGTGAACTGAGAGCATCACATGGGCTGGCTGTGACACTGCTTTTGCCTGCTTTTTCACCAGGAAGGAACATTACTGATCCCTCACTCTTTCTCCAACTCATCAGCATCCTTTATGCCCAAGATGTCAACCACCTTCCAGGGACAAAGAAGCATGGAGAGTCCAATTTTCCCAACATATCCTTCCTGTTATGATATATTTCAATAATATTAAAAATATCTCCTTGTCACCTGCTCCAAATTTCTCTAGTTAGACCTGTCAAGAGCTGATAAATGCCCTTCTCAGTTTGCTTTAGCTGGCTCCTTCAGAAACCCTTCATGTGCTCATACTGACTTTGCTGCCTTTTCACACTTTTTTCAGTGCTGATACTGGACCTGTTCTCACTGGTGTTTAAACACAGACTTCTAAACCAGATTTTGAGTTGGGCTATTTCTTTTTCCAGGTAGCTGTAGGCAGGAGCCCTGTACGCCAGAACCCAGTGATTCCAGCCCTGCTGTTGCTCTGCTCTCCCAGGAACTCTGGAGCCCCTCTCCCAAGAGCTGTGATGCCACAGCATGAGCTGTACTTCCCATGCCCTGCCTTTCTAACGTTTGTGGCAGCACTATTTTTAGAAGGGATAAAGGTGATACTGCTATTTCCCCCTATTATTACTATTTCAGTGCTCTGATGCTGTTCTAAGTGTACAGTACTGACAGGCTGATCAAAGAATAATTTATAAATACAAATGTAAAGCACATTTTTTTTCTCCTAATGAACATACCAATAATGCTTTCACAGTGATAACTCTGTTTCCTGAAACCAACAAACCCTGAAATAATATTGACAGGACCAATTGCTTGAAACTTGGTAGAAGCAGTTTATATTGAAGATACAAGAAGTCACAATAGGAATCCTGTAAGGCGAATGACTCCACAGAGAATAAAAGGTATGAAAAAAATCTCATATTTTTAAAACACAGCTTCAATAACTTATCATGTCATTTAAAAGACTGAATAGAAGTAAATATTGAGATTTTTATTAAATAAAAAGGAATTATTCCTAAAATATGCCATTAGCTAATACAGAATTGTCATTTCATTTTTTAACAGCCTCAGTTCCTAATAATTGTAATACCAAGCCCTAAAAATGTTTTTTATTAGAGTTCAACAAAATTCTCTCCTATGCCTTTGAATGCAAAAGAAAATTGGCATTTCAAAAAATCCTGCTTATGGTGGAATCACTGTAAAAAATCCACTGTTAACATAAATTCAGTTAGTCAAGGCATCAATAAATATGTGCTGCAGTCTCATACTGTTTTCTGGTATAAAGATTTTTAGGGCACATGATGAAGGTCTCCTACACTGCCTCACCCCTTTTTACTATCTGATTTTATACCACACAGATAGTGGTATAAGAATGAGAAAAAGCAGCTTACTGCTACTTCTTGGGCTCTCAAGTGTCTGATGGCTGATTCAGAGAGAAAGAAGTTTGGAAGTGAATCATTTCAGAGGGGAAAAAAGCTAAGAGATGATAGCTCTGAACTGGATCAGCTAGGCAAGAAATAAAACTGGAGCTTCACCAAGTGTCAGATACCTCCAAGAAGACAATGTCAGAGGAGTCTCAGACGTATTGCCTTGAAAATGAAGTTAGAAAGAGAATGGCTGAGTAGTAAATCACAGTAAATGTGGAAACTGAGGCAATGTAAAAAGGAACTTGACATCTCAAATAGTCAGGGGACTAATAAGGATTGATATAGAGAGGCTGTCCCTGACTGGGTAGACTGGAAGAAATGGAGGCCACACAAATCCTGTCTTTTTCCTGCCTGTTGTATTTGGAACATCACATTTTGCTGGTCTGATTCAGTCAAGGCGGAGACCAGAAATAAGAACCCCACGTCATGAAACTGCACTTAGAAAAGGGTTTTGGTCTTGTGTCTTTTAATCCACAGCACTAAGGGTCATTTTGGTCTTCAGGCACAAATGTGTAACTTTACAACAACAGAATTCATCTAAGATCAGGTGGCTGGACAATATTTTACTTGTCCTACTTTTAAAGCATGGCAAAATAAGGAAGAAAAGAGCAAGTCTTTCTCTTCCATCTCTGGTAATTTACACAAAACTGAATGATTACAGTCAGGTATTTTAATACTTATGCTGACATACTTTCTTCATCTGATGTTATCATTGACTGCTTTTTCCATTGTCATTAATACCTGCCTATGATTGTAGACAGGTAAATAACTGCTGCAGAGCATAATTGCTGTCTTACATGATTATCCTCTGGAAACCTTAGTTTTATTTGCAGCAGCTCTCTGTCTTTCCACAAAGCAAAGGAATGTATAGATAGTATATAGCTATAGCACATATTCAGATATATGGTATTGTCTGCTAAAACATTTCCTGATTGACTTACGCTACCTGCTGGCTCCATTACAACCTTTCAAAAATAAGAAATCAAAGACTAGGGAAATGTTCTCAGGTTTGTAGTGTTCATAGTGGGCTTTTCTGCAGCTTCATAGAAACTGCAACATGTTAGCAGTTCCTATTGCTGACCTTCCCTACATTTTTTGCAGATTCAGCTTGAAGTTTTCTTGATTTGATATAAATCATTGCAACGCTGCATCACCATGGAGCAAAATCACACTACCCTGGGTAACAGGGGCAGCTGATAACTGGACTTTGGCCTTAATAGAGGGAAGTACTTTGAAACATAAAATTCTTTGGTATAGGACCATCAGGTTGGAATAGCTTATCAAGTTATCATTTTTT